TTTTATATACTGTAAGTGCACATAAAAAAAATCATCTTCTGTGACGTAAAAAATTAGATGGCGATACTGAACGTAGCCTAACCTAATCTAAATTGACCTACCGTTACCTAACCTAACTTATCCTGTACCTTAACTTAAACCTGTTCGAAACATAAGTCAACCCAACCAAACCTTATCATAACTTAACACCCAACCGAACCAAGCCAAACTTAATATAATTTAAACATAACATAACCAATCCCAACCTCAACCACTAACGTAACCTAACAGAACTAACCCAAACCAACCTATCATAACAGAACTAACCTAACACAATCTATCCTAACTAACCTAACCCAACTGACCAATCTTACCTAATTTTACTAACCTTACCTAAACCAACCTAAACTATATTACCCTAACCTAACTTTAACCACCAAGACGATAAAGTCCTAATGTTATAACGTTAAAACTTTAATAATAATAATAATAATAATAATAATAATAATAATAATAATAATAATAATAATAATAACAATAATAATAATAATAATAATAATAATAATAATCGTACCCGACTTACAGGGAGTTTAGACTCCTTCGTCAGCATTAAAAAGCCCTAACAATTATTGTTTTCAATGTCTACGACAATTTCAAAATATTCTTGTTACAGGTTTCCTTGACTTATATTTATAATTACTGATCGTCAGCCGCCTTCGTCTAAGGAAGAACAGGCAGCTCTCAGGACCAGACGCAACACTGTGACCATCCAGTCGGACGGTTCCTATAGCTCAACCTGACATCTTGGTCCCGCAGCGTTCACCACTCATCAATAAATGTAAAATCTTTGCTGCTCCAGGGAAACAAATTATACGCTGACGTGACCAACTTACAGGGCGCTCACTCTTCTCTCAAGGAAACTAGTTACCCATTACACGTGGTAAAAGAGAAGCTCACTGGAGAATATGACGAAGGAAAGAGAACACAAAACTTCCTAACCTCAGAAAATGTTTTAGGGGAGCATAGCGATAGCATACTTGCTTTTCCCTACTGCGTCCTGTATTCAATCCTTAGTTCAAATGTGAGCAGGCAGGGTATTATCCCTCTGACCTGTGACTACCAATAACAGCAGATTTCCTCTCCGTACATCGGTTACCTCTTCTACTAACACTCGACACTGAAAGAAAACCCCAAATAGAATAATGGGAGAATTAAACAAGCCGCCAGATTTATTTCCCTGTCAAAAATGGTAAATTGAAAATTAAATTAAATTAAGATATTCCATTAAAACAAATCTAGGGTAGACGACCAATAAGAAAATAATCTTCACTTCGTCAGTCAAACGACCCGACCCACTGTAGATTAATTATTGAAGGCTTTGTGGGGACTTAGAATAATATGTAATTCAGGGTGGTGGATGACTGGGGGTTTTATTCCCCCGGGGGTCCTGGAGGATGTGTCCCCGTGTCATGGGGGATGTGCTCCTCCGTGTGTCATGAAGGATGTGCTCCCCGGCGTCAGGAAAACTATTTGAAATCAGTACCTCAAAATAAACGATTTCTGGCCAACTGAACTGTTATTACTCATACACACTAGACTGACTAGAGTATCGTAAATAGTAGTGTTGTTCTCGTAATTATTAAAAGTGATATTGTACTTCTTGAAAGCTTTGTTATCGTAGTTTTGTTATTATATTTTTTTAAGTTATCTTACGTTTTGGTATTATCATCGTAAATATTGTTAGTGTTGTTGTCGTAGGTATTGTTATTTAAGGTATTATTAGTATTGTTATCGAAGATATTGTTAGTATTGTTATTATAGGTATTGTTACCGGGTATCGTAGGTATTGTTATAATAGTATTGTTATCGTAGGTGTTGTTATTTCAGGTATTGTTTATTGTTATTCTAATTAGATACATTCTCTTTCTCTGTATCTAGGTACCGTATAAAATTCAGCTAACGATTCTTCAACAAATCTTGGCTTAAATTTTTCTTAACAGGATGGATTTTATGGAGGAATAAACATCGTACTTTAAGTAAAATGCAAAAGATTAACCTTTGTGGGTAGTGAGTCGTAAACACCTTTAGCACTGTCTAGAAAACTGAAAGGTTTAATTAAAGGTTTTTCCCTGCGACGGTAGACTAAGCTGTTTATACAAATATACTGTACATGTTGTTTAATTGAACGATATAGTTGGTCGTACTACAATATTATAAACAAAAACATATACATACATCTATACATACTTATCACGCACACACAATATATAATGTACACACACACACACAAGCGTTTCCTCATTCGCACATTACATACGCATTTCTAAAGAGGTCCCCCTCGTACACTCCGTGCCCTACAGTGTAGGGCCTACACGCACATACTGTACAGTGCAGTACATACGCCCCTTTCCCATACCCCAACCCCCCCACTCAAACAAATTTTCCATGCCTACACCCCCAACACGTCCATATATTCTACCCCTCCACACGCGCACATACTTGCCCCCCCACACACACACACACACATATATATATATATATATATATATATATATATATATATATATATATATATATATATATATATATATATATATCATGTAGATCCACAATGAAAATGGGAGATGTCTTGAATAAAGACGAAAGCTAAGGTGCTCCGTTGTTTCCCTTTTCCGTGTGATTTTATCAATATATATATATATATATATATATATATATATATATATATATATATATATATATATATATATATATATATATATGTACTTCCCTTTAACCCCCTCCACAAACACATCTCATCCTCTCACACACCCCCACACACACACACAAATCACGCCCTTGGCAAAGTTGGCACCCCTGTAGTAAAACAGTTTAGGAGTATTTCCTGTTGGCAGCCCTGCACTACATAACCCCCAAGAACTACGTATTCTCGCAACCAAACAAACTTTTTGTGTACGTTTTCCACGAACTCCCGAGGTGACACAGTTTACCAAATCCGCGTCACTTTGTTACACTGTGGAATAAATGTAAATATACCACTACAAGTACTTTTCTTCTTTATTTCTCTAACTATATTTTGGTCAGTTACATTTTTGATGAATTTATGATTGTGGTGCTTGCTTATATTTTAGTCTGGCGGATATCACTTGTTAGTTATTTACCGTGTTAAAAAAATTACCTCCAAAAGCCTGAGCCGTAACAGTTCAGCAGATTCATGACATTGTTTTTACAGTTTGTAATATATTCCATTATTATTATGATAATGATGATGATGATTACATATATATATATATATATATACAATAATGGTTTTGAATTTACTTTTATTTCACAATTTAATTTTGCTGCATTAGAATTATTTTAGTATTATTATTGTTAATGTTATTAAAATTATAATAAGAACGAGAAAGAAAAGTGGAAAAATAAGAGAGGGAATAATAGAGAAGGTAAGCGAGAGAGTAAGAGGGAAAATAAAAAACAGAATATGAGAAAGAAAATAGGGAACGCCAGTGTCTCGTTCACTAAGCTGACGTTTGTGATTAATTTTCTCACACGTAAAAAACATACCTTCTTAAGTTCTGGCACTGCTGACGTCCACTGACTCACTGCAGATGCTAACTTTTTTCTACATTACTTTGACTTTTGTTTTGTGTCAACATTTAGCGCGAAACAAGAAGCAATCTTAACTTTTAGGAATTTAAAAAGTCATTGGAACTGTGCGAGGAACTGGAGGAAGATATTATTGATTTTAGTTTATAATTTGCATACATGTGCATTCTCTAGAGTTGATTAACGCAGCAGATAAAAATCTTAAGTTTTATTGTTTGTTTAGACTTTAGTTAGTTCTTGAGATTCTGAGAGAAAATAACTTGTCAAAAACCATATATTTTTTTTTTTTTTTTTTAGGGGGGTTTTAGCCCACCCGGGCACAGGTCACTGACCCACATCGGGGCCTGGGGGGCGAAAATGTAATACACCTTTTCACATCTCCGTTGAGACTTTGTTACATAACTATTTGACAAATTTCATAACCGAATGACAGAACACATATCGAATGACAATGTATAATAACTGTTCGTTCATGCTAACGGAAATGATTGACATAAGTTATGAAGTTGACAGACGTGAACAATAAACCGACAGTCTACATATAGTTTGAGAATGTAACAACTGGAGAATGACATAACACCAACAGTTATTTTAGATTGTCATTCGATATGTGTTCTGTCATTCGGTTATGAAATTTGTCAAATAGTTATGTAACAATGTCTCAACGGATATGTGAAAAGGTGTAATAATAATACAGTAATTCATAGCAAATAAAATTTATAATAAAAAGTAAAATAAAATAATAATGATAACAATACTAATAATGACAACACTAATAATAATAATAAAGAAATACAATTAAAAAAATCAATAGTGAGAAACGCTATTATGTATGTTGTGTTATCAAGAAAGAGAAACAATCGAGACTCTGCAATTGTGTATAAATGGGGCAGAAAGTCAGATCAGCAACCTGGGACTTGGTCACAATGTTCGCGATGCCATATAGCAGCAGGGTCTACCATTAGACAATACATTTATTACATTATACTTCCAATATTTTCCTAGGCGGTAGTACCTCCCTGTTTGAAAGCTGTCTTCTACCTACTACCTACAATATAACGTATTGTTTCTATAAATTTGGCAATTTTACAGAACTAATGTATTTTTTTTACTTCGTAACAATCAAACTTCGTTATGGTTAACAAAACAGGTAGTTTCTGCCTCGCAGTATTTACTCAGTTACCAATTGTCTAGAATTAAATATATTTCATCTACCACTCGTCTAAATATTTCGTTAAATACCATCAAATTTATATCGCATATAAAACATCCTGTTTTATGTGAGTAGTTTGGCTTATTGAAGACAGAATACGTGAAAATACCAACTAAATACGATTTATAATACTATGTAGCAACACCTGGACGTTAGGTAGGGTTGGTCAGCAGACAACTCAGCTGCTATCAGTTCACAGTCTCAGACGGACACTCGCATTCGTTAAAGAAGGTAGTTGGGGGAAAGGTACCCAAGATCGAACCTGTTCAATATTGGTTCTATTTGGAGAAGTTTATACAGTAAAGGTAATGTACAATGCTCATTAAAGTTGTAGGAATATTTTTGGGTAATGCTTGACGAGTCACGAGTAGCCTGGACTTGTCACCAACTTTAAGTCAATTTTTTGAATAGAAGATAAAAACTTTCATACCTTGAGGAAATGACAGGAAGTGTACGAGGAATGCGTATTGCATAATGACACTTTTTACGTCCACAATCGGCGGAGGTTGACTGTCAAATACGATCTTCCAGTAACCATGGCGCCACGTTTTAACTTTAGTGTAAGAATGGCTCTTTTTCGCAGAAAGGAACTATATTTCGATGATTAAAATAGAAACACCATCATTTCAGGTTAAGTTAGATGGATTGGTTTCGTACTTTTATAAGCTGAATATTATATAATGTACCAAAATCTTTAAAACAAAATAATGAAACGAACCATCCTTTATTGCAGAAAGTAAACTTGGCGGGGAGACGGAAAATTTTAAAACTTCTGAAAATGAAATTACGTTAAACTCGCTCCTCTTTTAGTTTTGTTACTTTCTTGTGAACGAATGCTATTGACCTGTTTAAAAATTGAACTAATTTCCATGATTATTATTAAAGCTGTGATGCAGAGTATTGATGGTTGATTGACAACCGATTCAAGTTAATGTTTACTTAACACTCCTCTGCGTGCGCTTTACATTACAGGAGTAACTATGTTGGACGGCACAGACCACCGTGAGGCTACGGCTACATTCACCTTCATCACCCGCCTGCAGGCCCTACCCGCTGTGCAGGACGCCCTCGCCATGGCCACTCGCCTCTACCACACCACCAAGGTCAGTTTACCACAGTACCACCTACTATTAACCATGCTTAGGTATAATCACAATGAAGATTAAGGCTGTTCATCTTCTCCAGTCCCTTAGTTTAGACCTCCATGGTCATCATGAAGTCATGCCTTTGCTACCAAGCGGCACTATGTAACTGCTCTTTCCGACCTCGAGAAGGTACATTCTGAGACTTGTAGCCCGAGATCCTTAAGAATCTTGAGTTTGGTGTTACGGGGAAGGATGGCTTGCTCTATGGAGTTCTTTCTTATTGATCGCTAAGTTTGCGTTCAGGTACGGAACACAGTTTTGTTCCCATAGGATAGTGTTCAGTGTTAATGTTTGCCATTGCAGTTATTAGCATTGTAAAATTTCTCCATTGCTGCAGACCATTGCTGTAGACCTAGCATAATTATATTTTGTTAGAAGTTGGTGTACAAGTACAATTTTCTTGTAGCCTATGTACACTACAGTATGTGATCTTGGGTAGCATACATTGTAACTTATTCGCATTATATATTCTACTTTTTAATATTGCAGGACTACAAGTGCGTGGGTGTGGTCGTTGGTGTGGCTGAGGGCGGGGTGCGAGCGGCAGCTGCAGTGTTGCCCCTGGCCACTCCCTTAACCAAGCCCATCCTGCAGCGTGTTGGCGGGTGGGAGGCCGTGGACGAGTGGGCATGTCGTGGGTTGAACACTGTGGAGGAATGGGTGCCTGTACTGAGGAAGTCTCCCAGAGAGGTAACAGAACAGGTAATTGGACAAAATAATACTTTTTCTGGCACGAAACCTCAGGCCAAACTTACACATAATCAAGCAGTTAAATTCGCTAATTAAGGTTAGGTTTAAGTTTGTTGTTCCATGTAGTCTGTTGCAAAGATCGACTTTTCTAAGTTACATTTCTTAGTGGTACCTTCTTCCTCACTAAAACTTAATGTATTCATAAGCTTAAATTTTGTGCTGGTAGTAATGAATTTTCATTACTCCATGAAACCAGCAAGTTAGAAATAATTAAGCGGCATTACTTTAATACATATCAAACGGCGTTACAAGTTTAGGGTTGACGAGAAAGGTTGTTAAACGCTAGTCTGGTCTCCGTCAGGTGGTGACCAGCACGAAGGAGAAGGTGTTGAGTGTGGTGGCAGGTACTGATACCGTCCCCCCGCCTACCCTAACAGCTGCCCTCACTGCCAGAATCTCGCACACCGTGAGTATACTGTATTGTACTTCATAAAACGCTGAAGAATCCTGGTTGTTTTTATAGAAGGGCATTTTCTGTACTGGTTCCAGTTTGTCTTCAAAATGGACAATACTTTTTTAAGGTTTATGAAATCGTTGATTTAGGCAAGTCACTCGCAAACGATCCTGTGAAACTGATAAATATACTTGATTCGTCACGTAATTCCCGAAGTCAAAATGTCTAGACACTTCCCAATATCCTCTGATACACATTTAAGATCACTTGCATAACTCGACGTTTAAGTGTCTAAACCAATTTTGGTTTTGAAGATGCAGTATGTTGTACTGTACTAGGGAGTTGAAAGTAATATGGCTAAAATCAAATCTAATTTAACGGCCTCAATATCAAAACCTTTTTACCAATGATGTAGATACAGTAAAGTGAACTTTCTTGTGTCGTCAGGTATCCGTGGTGAGCGAGACTCGAGGAGGTCGTACTGTTGTCTGGGTGACTGAAGAGGTGCTGGCCAAGGCCCATACCCTCGTTGACCACTACATGGCCCCTAACGCTTGTGACCTCCACGACTCTGGTAGGTTCTCGGCTATTGTAGTATTGTTCATTCATTGACTTTTGTCACCCCTCCCTAAATCTTAGGCAATTGCTCGATTCAGTAATTTATCTTTGGAATGTTATTTGTCATGGTATCAGTAAGGTTAGAAAACTTTTCCTTTGTTTGGGATATGGAAGAAAATTGTTAAAGCCTCTTGACACCTGTAATACAACACGTCGATGAAACAGTTGCAAGGGTTCCTCTAGCTAAGGAATACATGGTTCTCTCATTTCCAGAACTTGTCTATCTTTATTTTCAGTTTTAAACCGATTGGGAAGAGTTTGTCCGGATTCTGTTTTATCCATTAATTTTAATTTTCAGGCTGAAATTTTGTTACTCTGGCCTCGTCCTTTTTTGGGATCAGATTTGAATAAGATTGGTTTTCAGCTTAACTTTTCTCTCGGCATAGAGCTTCCTAGTAGTGTTAATGTATATTGATTACTCTGCATGGTTGTCCTTCTTTCCCTCCTGCAAGGAAATGCCGTCATCTTCTTCTCACCCCTCCCCTAGAACTATCGTCGCTCTTTCTTTCTAAAGCTGTTTTCTTTCTCTGAGCAGATGGTCGTGAGGGCGGGGTGGTGGTGAAGGCCTCAACTCTAGGCCAGAAGACCATACGTCGCCTCTACCGCATCACCCACGACTTTGTTCATCCCAACAGTGAAGACTGTAACGACACCAGCGCCACACACCTGGTGAGTGTTCATCCCATCCCTCCCAGTTTACACCAGGTAAACAACGGGCCTTATATTACACCCTGCTCAGCTTTGTTTACTCTGGCAAACCTGAAAAGTCCTAATCAGATTAATGCACTTGAAACCATCTGGACCCTTGCGCCATAAAGTAGAAATGTTACCGGAAGGGAAGTCATACTCGGTATTCTTGAACGTAGTTAACTATTTTGTATGTCCAATTAAGATCATTGGTTTGGGTCGACTCGGTGTTTTCTTGTGTCTTAGTCGTAGCTGGCTTTTAGGGGACTTGTTTGATACTTCGGCAACTTCATTTTTTACCAGCAAGTGTTGGGAAAATTTTGCAGTGGCAACTTTATTATGATAGTTTCAATGCTTTAACAGCCAGAGACTTCAGGCATCATGAAGTCGGTAGTTTGTGCAGTAGAAGAAAGCTTTTAGACTAGATTTATTTTGCACAAGTGATGGTTTAACACACTTGGCATGATTCTCTTGAGAACAATGATACATTTTCCAAAGGAGTTAAAACCATGACAGTTCATTTACTTCGGGGTGATGCTTTAACCTCTTGAAGATGATCGCTTGAACGTTCATCCTCCGAAGTTTAAGTATATTGGCCTGAACGCTGCCATCAAAGACCTTCCCTCTGTCTAATGAACGACCGTAAACTGAACCATTCTTCATGTTTATTCAGGTTAATGCACCCTACATGATTACCATTGAATATATCCATTAAGGGGTCATATCAGGAGGTAATTTTTTTAAAGCCTCGTACACTTGAGGGTTTTTCTAAAGGATTTACACCGTAGTTTCTTTTAATGTAATAAATAAACTTGTTGACGGAGCAATGGAAGTTTATTTGCATTTAAGTTACAAGTGAGCTGCTCGCCTTGAGGTATATACCGTATTGAGATTGTTTACTTTATTCCAGTAATATTTTTGGACTAATCTTAACCACTTTTTCTTAACTCTTGATATAGTCTTGCTGAACCCAAGGTGTGGAGGCCAAGGTCTACCTGTTGCTTACGTATTGCGTTTTTCCTCTTAACAAATTTGCCCTTTGTACATTAATCGTTCGTGCAAATCTTTATGGAAACCAATTACTTGTGGAACCCCGGGTGTTAAGATGTTAATACAGGTAGTGTATATGGCCTTAAAATTAGGCGGTGTCGAAAGTTAAAGGGTTCTTGACACACACACACACACACACACACACACACACACACACCTACCTACCTACCTACTCGGGTTTGAAAAAAAATATTCGACTTTTGTTCCCCATATGTAAGGTCTTAGCTGGTCTTCTTAGGCTTTCTGGTGTGCCTGTCCAGGGTTAATATATTAGAAATTAACATCTCGACTTGAGGTTTACCGCGCAAGAAATAATCCGGTAAATCCCAATTTCCACCCCCATTTCATTGAAAATTTTTATTTGGAAGATTTTGCTTACAAAGTTCATTTTAAAAATGCATACCTCTGCTTCAATGAGAATTCGTTGCCTTCCCGCGATTACAAATTCAATTAACTTTTTTATTTTAGTCTGTATATAAATTTTCACTTCGATTTTATGTAGTAGGTAATTTCACTTTCAATTAAATTACAAGTTTTTATAGTTTACACATTTACTGTTAGACTTCGAGGGACTGTATGTATAACAATTAAACCCAATAAATTACTATGGTGTCGCATTCATAATATGGATGGATGGATGTTAGACTGGGAGGACGTGCAGTGACGGATTAAGCCTAATAGGGGCCTAAGGCACAGATCAACTTGGGGCCCCCTACCCTCAAGGTATATATAAAGAACAAAATACTATACCCAAATTTATCAATGGTTTCATCAATATTAAGCTTCTGCAAAATAACACCTTCGATGTTCATGACAGAAAATTGAGACGTTGCTAGGACATAGTTGAACGAAGTTCATATTTTATGTTTCAACTTCGAGAATGTTTGTATTTGGGGCCCCCTTACAGTCCGGGGGGGGGGGCTAGTGCCTCATGGTTAATCCAGCCTGCGTGTGTGGTAACTACTGGAGAAAAGTATGGTGGTACGGTGAGTGGGACAGGCGTTTGTTATCCTGCACTTATTAAATTCGTTGTACAGGTTTAGTATTTTGAGACTTGCTCGTCAGCGAGGCACCTGTGACGTTGCCAGGGTATACAGTTTTTTTGTTTTGCCAGGTGGCCCGTGCTGGCGAGTCGGCTCGGGAGTGGTACGCTACAACAACACAAGACCAACGCCTGCAGGTAGAGGGTATGTCAATGGTGCAGATCAGCGTCCGTCTGGCAGTACGCACCACACATCACCTGGTACTCTCGGTGCGCTTCTTCCTGGACCTTTCCCCTTCACAAGTTACAAATATGGTGTTGAACTATAGCGCGGGCGTGGCGGAGAGGACCACAATGTTGATGAACTTGTTGATGCAACAGTTGAAGGTTTTCTTCATTATACTGGAGCTGTATGCCCTCAGGTTCAGGCTAAAAAGTATTCAGTTAAAAGATCTTTGATAGCTGCGAAAGTAGAAATATTGAATAGTTTCGGGGGTATCAGTAATGGCTCCCCTAAAATGTAAATCCCTTTAATATTTTAAGTTTTGTATTATGGTAAAAATCATTTTGAAACTCCAATGCATCAAAATATTGCAATATAACGCTCTTGTGCGACCGTATTAAGGTTTGTAGTAAAGTGGAAATGACACAAATCACACCATTACCCTCAAGAAGCTCATGGTAAAATTAAGATTATATGGCAAGAGGCAAACCTGACTTAACGTATATAAATAGATGCACGTCCTCAGCTAGTTGATGATTTCACCTTCGTAAACCGTATTTACCCTGCCATTGATAGCGGTGTGATGACGTAAGGCTCATCATTTTCGTTGTCAGTATCGCCAGTTCTGTAAAGAGGTGCATATCACTCACCTTATGTGCAGTATCCACCCTTTAAAGTATTCCCCTATACAAAGGTGTTCTCTTTTCTGGTATAGATGTGCTTCGAAGTGTGTTTGAGGGTCGTCCTGGTGCATTGGGAACCGCCCATGCCACCCACCCACGGAGAACGGCTGCTGAAAGTCTAAAGGAATGATCTTCATACGCACTCCTCGTTGGTCCATCACCATATTTGCGGTTTTGCATTATTCACTTTTTATGGGTCTTGGTATGTGAATTATCTAAGTAGATGGGTTAATTATGAAACGTTAGATTTGGTTGAATTCACTATATATTTTTGGTAGCCTCTAGAAGTGGTGGTGGACTTTATCCATCCACCCTGTGTAATGGACAGCAGGTGATCAGTTAAATCGTGTTCAACTGTTTTCTGTGCTTTGTGATTATATAAATTGTCTAATTGGTTATATTATTGGATGCCGTGTTTTGAATAATGAGAACTGTTGAATGTTTCTACCTTAAAATTTTGGAGCTTTAAAAGAAATTTCACTATTATAGTAGACGAATTCGCAAATTTTTAACCAGTATAAATGGCAGTGAACAGGATTAATGACCCCACGTATACAGCATGTGCAATTCATTGGGAAAAAAATCCACTATCTTAGAATTAGATATGCCAGTCATACCTCCAACCATGAAATTGTCCGAAGTCGTGTCACTTTAAGTATACGACACAAGTACTGTATCATGAATTTTGCAAAGGACAATACCAGACTGTGATTCATCATTGCTGTCTGCAGAACTTGCATCCAGACGCGCTTTTCTAGAAGAGACCTGGTGTAGCTATCATGTTTGTATGAATTATAGTATATTTCTTGTTCAAGGCTTTAATAGTAAACCTCGCCTGAGGTAGCAAGTGGTTTTTGATTTAGTGTAGTGTTTATTACTGAATATGTATGCAAAATCGTTGACAAATGTTACTTTACTAATCTTTAAATAAACTTCTTTAAAAACAAATTGTATTTATCATGATACACATTAGTTTTTAGACACCAGACTTCAACATGACCTATTGTTGTAGGCGTGTTCTTCCCTTCGTAAATATTTAGAGTACCTGTACTGATGAACTTGATAATACAAGGATACCGAACTCCTGGAAGGGTCCCTGTTGATTTTATCAGTGGCACAGTGTACTGCGCACAGTCATCATTAATACCTCTTTAATTAATAACAATAATAATAAACGGTTTATTGAAAGTATGTGGCCCGAAGGCTGAAAATATACATTGGACACAAATGACTTGTTACATACATTGGTGGTTTAACAAAAGCTTTCATTAGAGAAAGGTGAAAGAACATTGAACATACAGATTGTTTACACACGTAGATCTAAGCTGAGGTGTTGAACAGCAGACACGTAGTGTAGTAACTCCCTCACAGATTGCGTTATGAGGGGTATCACGTGCAGTACTAGTTCTCTCAAAGGTGGTATGAGGGGCTTGGCGTGGTGTAGTAATTCCCTCTCAGATGGTGTTACGAGGGGCCTGATGTGGTGTAGTAATTCCCTCACAGATGGTGTTATGAGGAACTTCACATGATGCTGTAGCAACTCATTCACTACGTGGTGTTGTAGCATCATGGGGACACCACGTGGTCTGAGGTGTGGTCCCAGGCTTCTCTATCGTGGAATCTCGGGGAAATTATCACTGGGTACCTGGGACCTCAGTGTGTGAAGGCTAGCTTGGGTAAGACTCAACTGCCGAGTTGTTTTTCACTGACTTAAGCACTGTTCACCACTATTCAACACTGGTTCCATTCCTTTCCCAAATGAAATAGTAACTTCAGGCGAGAACTTGTTGATATTCATCAGGGGAGGGAGTTGGTATGGGTCAACATAACAGTTGACGTGGCTGCTGCTGAGCAGCGCCAGGTACGTCTGACCCGTCTTGACCCGTCGGTGGTCAAGGATGCTACATAACATGCTATGGACTGTTAATTGGTTGAAAATGTTCAAAGGAGGGCCACCAGACTGGTGCCTGCCCTTCCGCACCTCGGCTACCCTGAGAGATTGGAGCGCCTGAAATTGCCTAGCTTGTACTACAGACGGGCAAGGGATGACCTAATTGTGTATAAGCATCGAGGGGCACTATTGAGTAGTGTCCTTACTTGGTGCTGGCGGACGCTCGCCCGCCCCACAAAGGGTCACCGCTCAAGAATGAAGAAGCGGCAGATCCAGAAAACTGAGGGCAAACTTTTTTTCGAGTAAGGGTTGTAAACTCTTGGAACAATCTACCAGAAAGTGTTGTGAAGGCACCGAGTGTGAGCTCTTTCAAGTCAAGATTTGACCAACACTGGAGCGGGTTCAGGTACATTCAGGAGCCGGTGCATGCCCAGTACTTGCCAACAGTGCGTAACACACGTGACCGATCGCCCAAGCGGCTAACGAGCCGATCTTTTGAAGAGGATAAAAACAAAAAATCCACCGGGCTTGTCACTGGAAATGTTGGTAAAGGATAACTCGCCTACTGTATGTTTTATACGAATTGTACCAAGGTAAGGTCCTATAATCTTAAGTGTACGTACTCATAGCATAAAGGCCCGGCGGGCCCGCACTAAATGCCCGATATCGGGCAAAATTGGCAAGCAAACCAGCCTAGTGCCCGTAGTTGAGCGAAATCATGGTCCGCCTGCCTGGTAGTTTGCTGCCTGTTAGGAAGCGACGACTCTACCAGACAAACGAAGTTGACCCTGGCTGTCAATTTCTCAGTCTCGCCACAACAGTCACCACTGTACCATGTCTAGCCCTCCGTCCACCAAAGAACAAAAACATTCATTGGTCTAGAGAAGAGACCATGCTGTTAATTGAACTCTATCGCCTGCACCCTTGCCTATGGAATGTCAAAGCTGACTTGGATAGGGACAAACGTACAGCGGCACTGAATGCTATTAGAGGTTATGTAGAGAAGTGGGACTTCAGTTACCACAAGTGACGTGAAGAGAAAAATTTAAACAATTCGAAATCAGCATAGACGGGAACTAAGAAAGATGCAGAAATAAAGTCGAGCTGAAAGTGAGGACAATTACGTTCCCACATTATGGTGCTTTGATGCACTGCATTTCCTCATTCGACTGTGTAAAACATGGATACCCATGCAGTTCACGTAAAATCGTGGCATGACTTCCCAATACTTTTCTTCGATTTAACCACTCTTTGCACCATTCCCTTTTCTGGATTTGGTTCTTCTTTTTGCACATAGCAGCAATCATTACAGTACACAACGCTATGCTCTTGGCTTTAACTGTCTGGCGATTATTCTGCGACACACCTTGGTGATCGTACCGCCACTGCTGACCACCTACTAGCTACCGGCGCCCGACTATGACTGCCACTAATCTCCCCCTGGCACTGCTCGATCGTGTGGATGGGGCTTAACAGGTGATACAGTCGGATGTGTTGGGTGTAATGGTAAGAATGAATGACCGAGGTAAGGAGGTCATGGACTGTTAAGAAGAACGAAGATGAGAGTAATAATTTTTGTTAGACGTACTTTGATGTAAAGTGGAATGAACATAATCGTGGTCGTCCTGATGAAGGCCAACTCTTTTTGTATTGTGACGATGCAATATGTTTTATAAGGAATAAATTAGTGAAGTCATGCTTGATGTTTCACCCTTCTTCCCACTCTCGATTTGGTCAATGAAAAACCCAACCCAATGCCTAGCTCACTCTGCATGCTACCTAACGAGCTACATACTGTCCAGGGGGGGTCTGGTAGCAGCGACCTTAAAATTAAGAATAAAGTTAAGTTATCCCCTTAGAATTAGTGACCCCAGAATCGGACAGTATAGCGGGTCTTTGCTAATCAAACTTAATTTTGGTGTTCGAACATTAGTGTACTTCACTTACTTCTGATGTACCCTCCCATAGACACATGGTGCCGTAGGAGGGGAAAGTGTTCCTCGAGGATATCATGGGTTCAGTTCCATAGGTCTAGGTCTGGTAATAGAGAATGTGACTGACGTGCCACACTGAGCTGCTCTCGCCCTTCATCTTTACGGATGAGAGGATTAAACAGGCAGGTGTTGGCCGTACTAAGAGACCCGCACACCTGGTTTCCTTGAACTTGGAAGTGTCACCCTTGAAGCTGCGCCTCGGGTAGACAACACTACTTTGGTGGCGTAATGGAAGTAAAACCGGTAGTGACTTGTGTGACCACCAAGGAGTCAGTTATATCTGGCTGGGTCAAGAAGGCACTGTCCCAGAGCAGCTCGCTTACCTGTGCTTTCTGGTTAATCCGGAAGACTGTCGAGACAACTTGGTCTGTGACAAGATGATCTCTACCTGCTGGGCCCCATGGTGGGTGGTGTGCCAGGGAAATTAGGTTGTATTCAATGCAATACTGGATGCCATAATTTAAAATACATCAAACGCAGTACCACATAATACGAGCAAAATCCACTACTCGTACTTCCTTTTTGAGAAAGTGTGTAACTTGATCTAACTTCTGACAAGAAGAAAGAGTATTCTGGGATGATCGGTGTATGAGAGCGCCGGAACATATATCTACAGGATCTGATTTCTCTTTAAATAATCATCTGAAACTTTACTATACCCAGAGGCGTGTCTAGGAAGGGGGGGGGGTGCTCATTGTGCCCAATACATTATTCATTTAAAGTACGTCAATTTTCTCATGAGTTGGTTATTTACAGGTGGGAAATACAATCGCTCCCAACTCGAAAGTATTTGATTCTTTTCAAGGTTTTTATATACAATATCATTAAAAAATTAAATCATTATAAATATATGCCATCCGATAACCAAGGAGAAGTTGTCTGCAAATCTTCTGTTAATAAATCATTAATAATGAATAAATTATTCAAAGGACAGGTATTCAGATCTGTTCTTCCACAATATTGTTTGCAAAAATAATTGTTGATTTATAATTAAATAAGTTTATTCTTCAAATGTTTAAGTTGAGGTTTGCCGTGTGGATCTCCTCCCATGTGCTCCAGACATCATCACAACCTGTTTCAGAGTATTGGATTTTCACAATTTTATCTTGCCCAGGAAAGGGATTTTGGGTTCGACGGCTTTGCCGTCTCATCAGCTAAGCCAATGGGTAGAGCACCCCCCTCCCTTTTCATTAATTGCTGAACACGCCCCCAATTCTTACTTATTTCCTGTTCTCGTCTTCCAGGTCAGCTTGGAAATGCTAACAGCAATATTAAATGTTACTAAACCCACTTATGAAGAATTTCTGGGAACACAGGAAGACCTTAAATAATTGGTTGCTACACAGTGAAATTGCGGCGTCAATAATTACCGGGTGCAGAGCTGCAAAGATGTGCTTCAGTCCTATCAGAGATGGTGAAACCGTGAGATATTCTTCCGTATTCTCTCGCAAGTCTTAAAAAATACACGAAAATACCATCCTTATGCCTACCAGGTGCATGAGGGGTGTAATAAGAACATAAGAATGGAGGAAACTGCAGCGGGCCTATTGGCCCATACTGGGCAGTCCCATTTACACCCAAGCCCTATTGCTCATATATCCATCCAACCTATGTTTGAAGCTATCCAGCGTATTCGAGTTAATGATGACATTGGGTAACTTGTTCCACTCGTTCACTACTCTATTTCCAAACCAATGTTTACCTATTTCGAGCCTAAATCTATTTTGTCTAATTTAAAACCATTGTAACAAGTTCGCTCTGGGTTGGATAGTTTGAGTAACCTTTGTAATGTCCCCTTTGTTCAGCCCTGACTTCCATTTCTACACCTCTATCATATCGCCCCTCACTCTACGTCTCTCGAGGGAGTGCAAATTAAAATGCTTTAACCTGTCTCTCTACTCAAGGTTCCTAATGCCCGGGATAAGTCTTGCCATTCTCCTCTGAATTCTTTCCAAGGATTCTATATCCATTCTGTAATACGGTGACCAGAATTGAACTGCGTAATCCAAGTGAGGTCTCACAAGCGCAATGTTGCACAGCACAGCAGCTAGAGGGATCCATCTATCCACAAAGATATTGAGTCATAACGTTTAAATCGTGTATAAATTAACTGTTGAATTTAATTAGGCTACACCGTTCATTGGTTCTGGGGGGGTTTTTTCTGGGGCAACCAAATGGGAGGTGGTTACACACGCTGGATGAGCCTCTAGCCGTCAGTCGCCAGAAATATATCGCTATATCAGCGAGAGAATATTGTCATGAAACTTTATTTCTCCCTCTTCTAGATACTATACTGTACTGGCCCAACTCGTTATCCAGCGAAAGATTTGCATCAACACTGCAGAAGTCTACGGTTGGGAACCTTGTCCGTTCTCATTGCGCCGAAACTAAATTTGAAGCAGGCTATTGAATTTTACAGATTATTTTTATGGAGATCAAGCTGTCGTTGAAGTTGAATGACAATATCACATAGATTTTAGATACAATATACGTAGAGGTTACTTACTAACTGGCTGGGGTGTTCATTAATACCTGTTTTCAAATAGGGGTCAACTTCACTCAGCTTTCTTTTTTTATTATTACAAAGTCGATGCTGGTAGTCGTTGTACACTCTAAGTGCTTTTTATCTTTAAATCTGAGTTTCTACGCAAAAACTAATTTCAGATATCGTGGCAGCTTGACAAGTTATTTTTTGTCTGATTTAGAATAATAGATGGCAGCACCTTAACCATTATGTTCTGTTAGGTGAACTTAACTCTATTTTCACGTCTGTTCTAACTTCTATATCATATGTTGTTGTTTTGACTTTTAAAACCATATCAAGGTGTCAACTGGTTCACTAACTTCACTTTACCGCAAACAAATCGCTGTCTCAAAATGCCACGCCCTAAAGAGGATATATTTTCTAAGAACGTTGAGAAGACTGTTGGTCAAGTCAAGAGGTGTGCCTTCTCGGTGCTGAAGTATGTCGCGGATGGTGAGTGATGAGGGTGGTGTTGTCACATGAGGGGCAAAGCTGTGATATAAACTTCTTTTAGCCACACAGATAACCATACTCAATTCAGTGTTGACTCATTTGCAAGAAAACCTGGCAAGTTTGCAGTTTCACCCCCAACTACCCACTGTATAGAAATGCCCATATAAATAATGTCCCCATGCAAATAGAGTGGATGTTTGGAAATGGGAAAATAGATGAAATATTAAAGAAATATAGAAATTTTGCATCTAGAATATAACTATGTATTATAACTAATTATATGAAATATTAGGGATTTATGTGAGTCCTGAGAGGGACATTCCTGGACTGGGGTGAGGATGACTTATGTCACTTCATCCCTTTGAGATGTATTAATGTTTTTTTTGTATCTCAATAAACGTATTAATCAATCACTACCCACTGTTCGACCATAAATTTTTATTCGGTGAATTTTGTATCTTGCACCATTACTTCTCTCGCAGTAACTAATATGTTTTTCGTAATGTTTAGACAATTCTAAGACCTTTTTCTTCTGTGATATGTCCGCCGGAAATTAAGGATAACCAAGATATTAGTTTTTCAATATTAGATTTGGTTAGTCACAAGTGTCGCCATTTGTTGTTTATGTCTCACAGAAAAGGTCTGACCACCCATCACACAGTGCTCCTTACCTCCATGTTGGCTTCTTAAGCATCTACAGTGCTTGTGCGGTGGGTGGTGTGGGAGTTTCTTATTGGCTTTAGCGATAGGAGACTTATAATTAGGCAAAAGTTTTTTGTCTTGGCCAATGATCAACGCATGGGTGCGTCGGGAGCGGAGATTTAATTTTTCATTACCAGAATAACCAATATGATTGAACAGGTGGAAAGAGCTGTGTCGACATTGTGGTAGAGATTATTTTACGTCAAATGCAGAGTTTCATCAGAAAATTTGTTAGGTTAGGTCAGGTTAGGTTTGTTTTTGCTGGTTTGTTGTTTTTTTATCTGAGTGATTTACTAAAAAAAAAAATGGTATTTTTGCATTTACACACCACTCATTCCTACCACTAATCTATTATCATATTCTAATAAGACGTCTAATTATAAGATAATTTTCATCTATTACAAAACTGGCGGAAATGTATAATAACGGAGAAAGCGTATCCAAAATTTTCTCTATTTTCTTCCGTTAATCTTCCGCCTTTATCGCCTGCCTCACCCCCAACACTGCGTGTCTCCTGCGTCTCCTTTATAAATCATCACGCGCATGCGTTCCCGTACACGTCACGCGGCCAATCAAAAGCGTTTTTGTTTTTGCAACCAATTAAAATTATTTTGGGTTTAATTCGCGGTATATTTGGCCCAATCAAATTAAAGTTTTATTTTGAGTCTTTCATATTTCGAAATTCAAGTTCAGTTCCGACCATGAAAGTCTGCGACGGGTGTCACTTAAATTATATGGAGCTGATTGCGAGTTTTTTGGGAAAAAACGAAGAAACTATTGCATTTTGTCGATCACATGGTGTTCTTCCAACCTCAGTAAAGTGTACTAAGAGCAAGATTGAATGTAAATATCGCAAAGACCAACATATGTGGCGTTGTGTAAGAATCTCGGAATCCAATGACGAACAAGAACCAGGCCAATAAGGTAAGAAATAGGTGATTCCATCATAGGGTGAGAGTCAGTTAGGTTAGGTTAGGTTAGGTTTGGTTTGGTTTGGTTTGGTTTGGTTTGGTTTGGTTTGGTTTTGGTTTTGGTTTTTCTATTGTTTTTCGATGTATTTTGCCATGATTTTTTTTTGGAAAACCTTCCAACGAAAAAAATTTGATAAAAAAAAACGGCTAATTTCTGCCAGAAATGAAGGTCATATTCGGTCTAAACACACACACAAATACACTAGAAAAATATATTGTTGACTCTCTAACGGAGTGCGGTGTGACAGTGCAAATTTACCAAAAGATTTTGTTAAGGTTGATGGTTGGGGGGGGATCTTAAAAACTATTGATTTGCTGCTGAAATGAATATTAAATTCGTCCGAAACTCATCATATAATATCGGAAAAACATTTTTAATATCCAAACAAAGACCGGTGCATTAGTGAAAATTTACCTATTTTTCTCTTGGTATTTGATCTGATTCATATGAATTTGATCTTCATTATCGTCACAAATGAGTGGTTACTGAGTTCTCCCCTCCTGGAATCTTGAAGAATCCGTGGGAAATCGGTGATTTTAGGTGGGGCAAAGCAAAAACGGAAGCAAATAGGCAGCTAACCTAACCTAGGGGTGGATACAGGGGGTCCTGGGAGTCCAAAACCCCCCTTATATCAGAATATTCCAATACTTTTTCTTTACATCCTCTCCATCTCCTCCTTACTCTTTGACCTCATCTTCTCAGTTTTCCTCTCTTCCTCAGCCCTTTTCTTTGCCCTCTTCGCTTCCTTCTCCCTCTCTTCTTTCAGCTTGGCAGTCACAATTTTGTCAACGCCATCAATGCAGCCCTCCCTTCCCGGTTTCCTCTGGGCTGCCAGGAAGCTTTTCTCTCGTTCGTGCACTTTGCTGTCGTCTGCCACATCAAACAACTTCTCAGCTATATCCTCGAACCTCATCTTCAGCTTCCCGTTCTTCGTTTTCTTCCTTTTCTGTTTCTGTCCATTTCCCTTCATCATCATCGTCTCCCTCCGCATCCTCCACAGGTCGTGGACTCTCATTTTCACCCTGATTTCAGAGATAGTGGGGACAGTGGCCTTCCTATACACATCCAGTACCTTCTCAGTCACCTTGTTGGTGGCATCCATATAATCAAAAGCATTTGTTCTTCTCCTTAACCTCTCGTTTTCTGCTTCATAAGCCAGGGCACTTCCAACTTCCTTGTTCAGAGGCAACTTGTTAGATGGCAGAGGCATCCGAACCCCGAACACCTTATCGTTACCCTGGCGCAGCTGAGTGTTGCTAATCTTAGGACGACCCATCTTGGTGGCGGCCCTTTGAACTAACTGCAAAACAACACAGAAAAAACAACTTTCAGCACTTCAATATCACCACCTATTGAACAATATTTTATTCAAAAGTACGGACTGAGATTTTGTCCTTAACTGTCCAAGTCAAGCTACTTGGGCTGAATTCGTTGATCAGTCCTGGGACGAATATTACCAACGGCGTGAATAGATTCCGTGGAATAAATTCAGGGCATTCCCGTCCAGGGAGCCTCAACAAACTCTGTAAATATTGCCATTGGCCTGCCATTGGCACATATACGGAGTTTGGTAATGTTCCATGAGCGGGAATGTCCTGAATTCATTCCACGGAATCTATCCACGCCGTTGGTAATATTGGGCCCTGGTTTTCGAAATATACGTATGTGGTGACTTGCAGCAAAAATATCGGCATAATTTGTAGCGCATTGAGTTGTAAAACAATAGCATATTATGAACCAGTGTACACAGTAGTCGAATAATCCAATTCAATAACTTGATTTTAACAGGTTGTGCCACATTGCCAGTCCCTTTATTATTTACAGTTTTTTCGCGTTTTTCATGCCAAACCCAAAAGTATCCACAAACCTTCTAATGCAATGATGTAAAAAACTCAAACATATTCGGAATTAGCGTGGCCGATAGACAAATAATCCAACCCAAGCAATTAGATTTTGAAAACTTTTGCCAAACTGTCACTCCCTACTGTTAATGAAATTTCGGTTAACGAACTGCCTTCCATAAGGATCTTCAATTCGGTTAACGAACAAAATTCGGTAAACGAATTTCTTACGAACCGACCTCAACATGTTTTCGCTTGCACTGGCCGGGCAACCAGCTTTAGTATCAGTCCGCCAATACATTAATCGGTTCTAGGGCTTAAATTCCTAACTATTTTAGTAAATATCAAGAAGTTTATACTATTCAATAATTTTAAAAGTTTAATATTCAATTTTTTAGTCATTTTAACAATTATTGAACATAATTGAAGGTAAAGTGACTAGTTTAAAGCGCAGCATCCAGCCTCTTAACACAGCAAACAGGCGTTAGTCTCTCTGTTTTCACTGGAGGTAACATCTTGCTTGAGACTCTCTTCAACTAAACGCTTTTTTTTTCTGTTTCCAAGCAAATTATTGGTCATTTTGAAATATATTTTACATATTGACAATATATAATGCAGTGCAGTGTTGATTTAAAGAAAATAATCTTGAAATACACCAAGAGAACTAAAATTTTATGGGTGCAATGGTGCCATGGGGTGACTTCTCTTCCACCCCAATGCCTTCTCTTCTTCCTTCTCCTCCACCCCCCATTGTAATTCCCATCATCATCATCATCATCCAGGAGCCTTCTACATACACACATCAAAGTAAGTGAACTTTTCTACCATTTTTGTTGAATTTAGGAAATTTTCGGTGAGCTGGAACCAATTACCCAAAAACCCATTGAAACAATGGTTTCGGTTAACGAACTTTTCGGTTATCGAACGACCTTCTGGAACGGATTGAGTTCGTTAACCGAGGGGTCACTGTATTTTCACAATTAAAAAATAAATTAAAAGAAGAAATATGAGATTTGGACAGGGCAGGTGGATTTTGGTGCCCCTTCCACAGACGAAAGGCATAAAAACATATATGTGATAGCTACCTGTACTACAAAAAATGTGTTTTGTTTTTTGTGAAAATTTAAGGTACTTTACTGTACTACTGTAATTAAAAAGAAAAAATAGCTACTAATGGTTTTTCAAGAACAAAACCCTTTTGTAAATTGAGGAATGCCTGTACACTACTGTATATGGAGTGCATGGTCATTTAGTAGGATTTATAATACCATGGTTGAAGACACCAGAAGGAAAGGGAAAAAAAAAGAGAGATGGATGTCTGATTTGAATGAATTGGAGAAAACTAGAGGTTTCTCATTAGTTTACTCCGAAGATTGACTTTGCATTGTGAACGTCAAAGTCATTCATACATACATGTTGATGGAAACATTGGGCTAACAATTCAAATTAAGATGCAGAATTAATTGTTTTCAATTATTGTATGCACAATCAAAAAAGTATCTGTGCACGTGAAACAATCTAACACCACAGATGACAGATACAATATTGCAAAATGCCATACTGTAATTACTGTATATCGCTTGCTAGTGACATTACCTGTTTTATCCGAAGTAAGTATTGTTATTATAGTACAGTATATGCACATTCAGAAGAAAATAGATTCATCTTGCGAACTATGTGTAGCGTGGCTCATTGTGGTGGTTACATTGCAGCATAGGTGTATTGATTATTTAGGAAATCTTTCGACCCAATTTTCACAGATACTTTTATTATTATTTGTACAGTTAACCAAATCATCATCTGCACCCCTGGATCTGACGGGCTATGCAACAATCACTGACTGAGGCCATGATCATTTGGTACAGTTGGTACTTCTGATTGTGTGATGCTTTGCATTGTGTAACCAATACAATACCGCTACAATATATTCGGTTATATCACTTAAAGTTAATACAGAGAAATTAATAGGAATACATATAAAACCCATATGCTTGTCAGAATTCTTGGTCCGGTGTGTCATATTATAATAATAATAAGCAGTTTATTGAAAAAGTTTGCAGGCCGAAGGCTGAAAATATTCATTGGACATTAATGGCTTATTACATACATTAGTGGTTTAACAAAAGCCTTCATTAGAGAAAGGTGAAGGAACATACAGTGAACATACAGATTAATGTTTACACACGTGGATCATGTAAGCTGAGGTGTTGAACAGCAGACATGTAGTGTAGTAACTCCCTCACAGATGGCGTTATGAGGGGCATCACGTGGAGTACTAGTTCCCTCACAGGTGGTGTATGAGGGGCCTGATGATGTAGTAATTCCCTCACAGATGGTGTTATGAGGGGCATCACATGGCATAGTAATTCCCTCACAGATGGTGTATGAGGGGCCTGATGATGTAGTAATTCCCTCACAGATGGTGTTATGAGGGGCCTGATGTGGTGTAGTAATTCCCTCACAGATGGTGTTATAAGGGGCATCACGTGGTGTAGTAATTCCCTCACAGATGGTGTTATGAGGAACTTCACATGATGATGCAGCAACCCATTCACTACGTGGTGTCGTAGCATCATGGGGACACCACGTGGTCTGTTGTCACAGGACTTCACTCAGTCAAGTGGGTGAGGTGTGGTCCCAGGCGCCTCTATCGTGGAGTCTCAGGGGAATTATCACTGGGTACCTGGGACCTCACTGTGTGAAGGTTAGCTTGGGTAAGACTCAACTGTAACTGCCGAGTTGTTTTTCACTGACTTAAACACTGTTCACCACTATTCAACACTGGTTCCATTCCTTTCCCAAATGAAATAGTAACTTCTGGCGAGATATTGTTGATATTCCGGTGGGGAGGAGGGTTCAGGGGAGGGAGCTGGTATTGGCCAACATAATAGTTGACGTGGCTGCTGCTGAGCAGCGCCAGGTGCGTTTGACCCGTCTTGACCCGTCGGAGACTGTGAAGGTGCATCCATTTTTTTTTTTTTTTTTTACTATACATACCAAAGATTGACATTACAGGTACAGTATTTTCTCGATTTAACGAACTAATTCAAGCCACCCCTTTCCATTAAATCAAATTTTCCACTAAATTGAGTTTCTGTTAATTTTGCTCGATTTTGTGAACTAGTTCGCGAAATCAAATGTGATTCCATTAAATTTCCGCGAAATCAAATTAACATTATTTTTGCTCGATTTAGCAAACTACTGTAGTTTGCTAAATCGAGTGTGATTCTATTAAATTCCACACCAAATGCGCCGCTTGGCACACAGGGTTTGTTTACATCTGCTCAGTCTGTGTCCTGCCACCACCGCGTGTGTTCACTGCTACCTCGTCGTCTACGTCTCGGTCAACTAACTACTGTGCTTAGGCATCATGCTGAAAGTCTCTCAGAAAGGAAGTGGTGTGGGGGAGAAAGTCAAAAGAGTGCAGCTATCAAGTGGAAAAAGGTTTGGAAATTATAGAAAAAATTTAAAACAAACACTGAACCCCTTGGTTTAAGGTAATCCACGAATGATGTTCCTAATGTTTCCATGTACGTATGTGTCTGAGGTGTCTCCGTAGGTGTGAGCGCATTAAAGGAATTACAGGAAATTTAAATTTAACAAACTAGTTCATTAAATCAAGTGAAAAATAACGAAAAATGTTCCTTCTGCTGAATCGAGAGTTCATTGTATACAAGTTTCGGATTCCATTAAATCGAGAGTATACTGTACAGTATATGTATGGTACTTTTTGTGCTGGTTAAATGTAAGAATAGGTAGCTCTGTGTGGATTTTTTTTTTTTTGCTCTAGCCCTTTCATGTCAGTACAGTATTGTAACTTACTTAACCTTATGCTGCTCTTCATACTTTGCCCCCCATTTTTTAAATCTTTGTACCCATTGAACCTCCCCAGAGAAAAATAGAAGAGTGAAGATAGACAATTACAATACTTTTCTAATTTAATAGCATGTGTGAACCTATATTTATTGATACATACTGTATACAGTACTTATATTTTTTTTTAATTTTGAATAAAAAAATTATAAATAAAATATTCACTTTTCTTTTAGATGACCTTAAAAGCAAGCATTTATCCGACCTTGAGCAAGTCTTAGTGATGTGCGTAGAAGCAAAGCACTCTGTAGCTATCTCTCGGGAAGCAGCCAAGGAAGCAGAAGGAAGAGCAAAGGATGACACGAATGATGAATCAGATGTAGAAAAATATGAAGAGGTAATTCTGTTTGTTACTACAACCCATTCCTTTTGATATATGCACTTGACCTGCACCTCTCTCCTTTACCATTTCCACCTTTTCTTCAGGTTTCTTCATTCTTTGTTTTTCAGTCCACAAAGGTAGGAGAAAATTAAAAGAAAAAAGTATTGAAATAAAAATACAGTACTGTACATGTAGACCAATATTATTTTGAGATAATGATACTGTACAGGTTTTCCTCTTAATACAAAATAGAAGCATTTTTGAAAAGTTTGATGTACCCTATACTGTACTGTACAATACTGTACATCAGAGGTGCAAATGGTACAGTATAAAGAAACCTATTTCACTACAAGTAGATACAGTATACTACCGTATATACAGTAAACCCTTGATAATTTAGAATATATGATGCATTAACCATTCTGAGGTATCAAGGCACTTCCTTACTGTCTTATGTCTCGTCCCAATACCCAAGTTTTGGGCCAAATAACTTACCATACTCAAAAAACTTGCACAAAAATTAATGCCTCCAATGTTGCAAGTGAAGTAAGAGGAGAATGAATGTGAAAAGGACTTAAGTGTGGCTGTTGACAATGAGGTGAAGTTCTCGGGCCATTGCTAGAAGAAGGTGAATCAGGCAATTAAGATGCATACTCGTCTGGAGTACTGTCACCCTTCTGGTCCCTGAGATATGCTAGGGACTGTCAGTTGATTGAAAATGTCCAAAGGAGGGCCACCAGACTGGTGCCAGCACTTTGGTACCTCAGCTACCCTGAGAGATTAGAGCACCTGTAATTGCCTAGCTTATACTACAGATGGGCAAGGGGGGACCTAATTGACGTGTATAAACATCCCAAAGGGCACTACTCACTTGAGTATTCTTATCTGGAGCTGGCAGTTGCTCGCTCCACAAGGGGTCACAGCTCAAGGTTAAAGAAGCCACAAGTCCAGAAAACTGCGAGGGGTAACATTTTCGGAGTTGAGAGTTGTAAACTCTTTGAACAATCTGCCAGAGTGTTGTGACGGCACCGAGTGTGAGCTCTTTCAAGACTAGACTTGACAAGATCTGGAGCAGGTTCAGGAGCCAGTACTTGCCAACAGAGCATAACAGAGACGTGACCGATCGCCCAAGTGGCTAACGAGCCGATCAGTGGTGAAGAGGATAAAGGTAAAAAGATAATTAAAGCTTGTGGTGCCATGTGGTAGGTGTCCGAGGTGATGATAGTTCACTGCACTACAGTACAGTTCAGTTCAGCTCAGTTCAGTTCAGTACAAGTACATTTCTGTAAACACTTATATCACCATTTTGCACCAGCTAATGCTTGGGAGGTGTTCACTGAAAAATGTGAGTGAGAGAAGGATGTCAGAGTTAGCACTCAGAGCAGTTATTTTTCAACTTATAATTTCAGGTAGACATATGTAATTGTTTTTTTAACTACCGTATTACATCACATTGAATCTTTCATACAGAATGTGCCCCAAAAAATTATTAAGGTAAAAAACACGAATGCAATACACATTTCTTACAAGTACGTGAGTTATCACAGCTAGGGAGAGGGGAGCAGCGTGGAGAGTCTCAGCTGTTCACTGTCTTGTGTCTCATGTGTAGTGAAATGATTGCCAAATGGCAATGCAATATTTTTTCTTTTATTTTTAATTTATTAGTACATTACTGTACAGTACAGGTTGTACCTCTCTAGTCCGGCATTCTGTGGTCCGGAAACTCCCGTGGTCCGGAACGATTTTAGTTTGTCCAATAGGTAGATAGGCAGCTTTTTTTTTTTTTTTTCTGAATTATTATTATTATTACAGGAGTATTAAATTCTTGCACCTCAGGCCCCAATGTGGGTCAGTGACCTATGCCCGGGTGGGCTAATCCCCGTAAAAAAACAACAACAACAAAGCCGCGGGAAATTAAGGTTTGTTTACATCCGGCAGTTCCGCTGCTCTCTCTCTCTCTCTCTCTCTCTCTCTCTCTGCTTGTCTATACAGAGTACAACATTTAACCCTTCAATATATATGAGCAGTAAATAAGTGTTGCTTTCAAATTCTTATGTAGAGTAATGACGATATGTTTTCACATGTGCGCACTTACATACGCGCAGTCTCACTGTTTTCTTTACCATTAATGGTTAGCTACTTATATTGTTCCATTTATGAACATTAAATAACATTACAGGTACTTCAAACAACCATACTAATTTTTTTTACATTAATTTTACTACAGCTACAATCAGGGTCTTATATTCTTCAGTTTTAAATGTAGAACCAATCAGTCACTGGTTTTGTAAGCTTTAACATAAACAATGCCGGCAGCCGTCTCGTCTCCTCGTGTTTTAATATTCCACGTATTATTAATAAATTGTATTGTTAATTTTGCACACACAAACATTAATTCAATAAAAACAAATTCAGAAACATTAATTAAAATATATATGAACAGTAAATAAGTGTTGCTTTCATATTCTTATGTAAAGTAATGACGATATGTTTTCACATGTGCCCACTTACATACGCGATCTCTCTTTTTTCTTTACCATTATCGTTAGCTACTTCTATTGTTCCATTTATTAACATTAAATAACATTACTTAAAACAACCATATTAATTTTACTACAGCTACAACCAAAGTCTTATTTTCTTCAGTTTTATATGTAGAACCAGTCAGTCACTGGTTTTGTAATCAACGAAAACAATGCTGTGTCATTTCCTCATGTGTTTTAATATTCTACGTATTATTAATGAATTGTATTGCTCATTTTGCACACACAAACATTAATTCAATAAAAAAGACATTCAGTAATAAACAATAATGAATCTTTTGTACATAAGAGAAATGACGCTGTTTACACGATTATGCACGTCGTCTGCACGTTGGCGGGGCGTTCAAACCCGTCGAACTTCAAGTTTCCGCCATCAAAATTTTTATTTATTTATTTTTTGTGTGTGTTCCAATAAGATACGTTGAATTAAAAACTCGCGAAATTTGAGAAGCTACTATACGACATTTAACCCTTCAATATGTCTTCAAAGAGACCATGATGCAGAGAAAGTGGTGCTAGTGCTTCCAAGCATAAGCACAAGTCACTAACTATCCAGGAAAAGGGTGAATTTCCATGGTCCGGCACCGGTCAGGTCCCGAGGTTGCCGGACTAGAGAGGTACAACCTGTATCTGTATTACAGTATGTATGTTTATTCCCCACATTTACTGGTACAGTAATATTGCTAATTCACTTTTGATGTTGGTTTATCAATAATTTTAGTTTCTTAAAGGTTGCCAATCCATTTCAGTGTTTCAGTGTCACTCTTTCCTGCTAAAAATAATTTGTGTAGGTGTTGATATATTAGAAAATTAAATAAACACAAAACACTTTTACTCTAAATGTGTAAAATTACATTACAGGCCTACCTAGAGAACCTCGAGGAACTGAAGCAAGACATAAATATGCAGACAGTTATAAATAAGGACCCTAATGTGATGGCATTTAGAAAACAATTAATGGCACAAGTTGGTATGTATCAGCCTACATTTTGTGTAGTACCATACAGTATGTTCTATTTACATTGTGTTAATTTGATTTAGCACTGTGAAGGTTAAGGATTCATCCTATACAGTACAGGCCCCATTGTGGGTCGTTTGACCTGTGCCCCTGGTAGGTTAATTCCCGTTAAAAAAAAAAATTGTTTAGTGTACTGCACCTGCAGGTTGAATATCTTGTATATATGACAAGTTTGTTTTAGAGTGTTTCTGTTTGCTGTGGTGGCCCTGTCTTGTAATTTTCTACTCATTTCTTTGAGCACAATTCCGTGCCATCTCTTTCCTTTTCTGAGGTTTCTGTAACTGTAAGTCTACCAGACACAAATATGGAAGATGAGTAAATATAACAAATAAAAACTGTAGATCAACAAGTCAACAACACATCCTAATTAAGGTCAAAGGAGTTATTCTAGAGGATCATTTGTCTTGTTGAGCATAGACTTGAAGATGGTATTCTTATTACAGTACTTGCTGTTTCCTTTTTATAAAAAAAAAAAAAAAAAAAAAATCTTGTAAATCTTGACAAAAAGGTAAAGTTAACTTTGAGGCTGAAGTCACAATCATGGTGATTGTTTGAGGTAGAAACACAGCTCCATCATTCTATCCACTGATCTGCTAATTTGTGAGATTTTAGAATTAAACTTCAGTATCTTGAAAGCCCAGCTAATATAAATACATATACAGTACAGTATATCCATTTTAGGGGTTCCAGTTCGGTTGTGAAGAAAAAGCATTGGGAAAATGTTGATCTAGAGGTGAAAGCTTAATTTTCTTATGCTGTCACTGCATCCAAAGTAAATAATTGAAAAAGTACAAAACAAATACTGTTCTATAAATACACCCAACAAAACTTACCTGTGCTCATTGTGTCTGATGATTATTGAATTTTTACAACTACCTACAGTATTCCCTTAAAGCTTGCTGGGTTTAGGTAAAATGGGCCCCTTAAGAAAGCAAAATCTGCGAGTTTTTCATGCCAGTCTCAGGAGTGTGCAAAATATATACAGGTGCTCCCCGACTTACGACGGGGTTAGGGACCCAAATCCAGGTCGTAAGTCCGAATGGTAGTAAAGTCCGACATAGATAATAAAAAAAAATAGTCAGCTGAATGCACATGGGGCCCCCATAATTTTCTAATTATACATGGAGACTACATTAACTGGAAACGTTTCGGTATAGAAAATGCGTGCGTCATTTGAAAAAAAAAATGGTCACAACTACGGCGGTCGAAAGTCCCGACGGTTGTAAGTCCAAGCATTTGTAAGTCGGGGACTACTTGTACATAAATAGCTACAGTGTTCCCTCGGTTAACGAAATTTCGGTTAACGAATTGCCTTCCATAAGAATCTTCAATTCGGTTAACGAACAAAAATTCGGTTAACGAAATTCTTACGAAATCATGTCAACATGTTTTCGCTTGCTCACCAGCTGGAATATTAGTCCGCCAATACAGTAATCGGTTCTAGGGCTTAAATTCATTCACATTTGAGTAAATATCAAGAAGGTTGTACTATTCAATAATTTTCCAAGTTTTATATTAAAACTTTTAGTAATTTTATCACTTATTTAACATAATTGCAGTACAGGAAACTAGTTTTTGGTGCGCCAATCAGCCACTTGACTCACCCACCATGGCGTCAGTTTGTATCTCTGGTCAGTGGAGGTAACATCTTGTTCGTGGCTCTCATGAACATAAACTATTTTTACGTTTTTACAGTACAATTATTAGTCATTCTGAAATTTATTTAACATATTGACAATGTATAGTGCAGTGCAGTGTTGATTTAAAGAAAATAATCTTGAATTAATAATCTTGAATTACACCAAGAGAACTAAAATTTTATGGGTGAAATGGCACCATGGGGTGACTTCTCTTCCACCCCAATGCCTTCTCTTCTCCCTTCTTCTCCACCCCCATTCTAATTCCCATCATCATCCAGGAGCCTTCTACATATACAGCTCAAAGTAAGTGTACTTTTCTACCATTTTTGTTGAATTTTGGCAATTTTCGGTGAGCTGGAACCAATTACCCAAAAACCCATTGAAACAATGGTTTTGGTTAACGAGTTTTTCGGTTAACAAGCAACCTTCTAGAACGGATTGTGCTCGTTAACCGAGGGACCACTGTATTGGTTTGACAGCTGACTCTCGTGGTCCCTCGGCACTTGGCAGCTATTTTTAGCTCGCCTTTGTTTCCGAAGTGGCCAATAATGTATGCATTTACTGATCTTAATACTTATTTACTATAAATAAAATAATTCATTTAGAATATTTTATTTGCATAATTTTTCATAAAAAGAGTGCTTGGCAACAATCACCAGTCGGTCGCCAGTCTGCCTGGCTGTTTTTGTGTTTGGTAGAGCAAGTAATGCATAAAATAATAATAATTCCACAAATAAAAATATTTATAATGTAATCATAGCATTGTTTTACAGTACAGTACACAGTAGTCTCGATTTACGCGGTCAATTGAACCCGTGGAGGTCCGCGTAAACCGAGAAACACGTACCGGTAAACGAAATAACAGAACATATGGGATTAATTGAAACAGAGACTGGGCCGACCCCCATACTACACTTCTTCCGACAATACTTACGTTTTAGTAAAAATAACATCTTAATTTTGTGATGGTATGCACACACAATTAATATTTAAGAGAAATACAGTCGCCAGTTACGGTAATGTCTGGTCAAATAATGGACTCAACTCTCCCCCTCCCCCTCGTCCCTCCCTCCCTCCCTCCCTCCCTCCCTCCCTGAGAAATGTTTGGGGAAAAAGACTAGGCTTACAGGTTTAGTAATAAATAATACCTCAGACTATAGTTAGGAGAATATAATTTACATTGCTGGATTCCTTGCAAGACAGCGAATAATTTGAATATAAACGTCATATATTTTGCACAAAAGATAAAATTTTTGCTCTCTAATAAAATTCTTAAATTAGATCTAAAATTTTTATGTCTAATGCAAATTTTAGCTTGTTTACATTCAAATTAATCACTATCTTATAAGACTTCCAGCAATGTAAATTATATTCTGACCGGGTAATTTCTATGAATTTTATGAGCTAAAAACATATGTCTCCAGTAAATAATCAAATTATACTTCAGACACAATACGTATGTACATACGTTGTAGTAAAAATTACATCTTAATTTTATGATGGTATGCACACACAATTAATATTTAAGAGAAATATCAATAATATTAGGTTTTTTAACACCTGTATCACCTGTATCACTATCCACCACAGAGGCTTGCAGGGCCTCTTTGTCAAACCCCTCAAAGTCCATATCCTCACTATCACTGACTTGGGCTGGCTGTAGTGGGTGGCGGGTGAAGAACTCAGTAATGTTTTGTTGACTGGGCAACCTTGTGCGCACCCTGCCCACGCTGCTTCCCGCGTAAATGATGGAAAATACCCCGTAAATAAAAATTGTCGGTTTGGCAAGGTGCCGCGTAAATGACCAAACGCGTAAACGAAATCCGCGTAAATCGAGACTATACTGTAATACCCTACAATACAACTACACAACTTTTACCAATATTACTTTGATACAACATGATAAACAATGAAAATGAAACAAACAAAAGTAGGCAATTATGTTCAGGAAGCTTCCCTGTGGCCCAGCGCATGATGTGAGAGGCAAATAATCACACTGGAACCTGATAACCCGCGCTGGGCATTTAAACAGTGGTGGGAATAGGCGCGCTTTCTTGAACGTCACCCGGGGCGCGCTGGTCAGACGTTCTGGAATGTCACTTGGGGCGCGCTGGTCAGACGTTCTGGAATGTCACCCAGGGCCTAAGGGTTAAAAGAACATCTTAGCATTTGGAGTTATAACATTTTACTGTATTTAGTTCCAGCAATGGTTACCAGAGATGAAGATTTGGTAACAACACAAGAGACTATCAACTATATAGACCCCATCAGCAAGAAGACCATAACAGATCCTGTTCGCAACATACACTGTGGTCATGTTTATGATAGAGCATCAGTAATCAGCATGATCCAAGGGAATAAACGTAAAGGTTTCCGGTAAGTTTTTTATTATTTATATATCAATTCACCATTTATCAGCTTACTAGCCATTGAGGTTGTTTGTCTGTCTTTTTGTTACTGTCGATTGTTAGTGCAGGAGGAAACCAAAGTATTTGGAGAAAACCTGCAATGTTTGTTTGGGTCATATTATATCACACCTATCTCACTTTTATCCCTGGGCAGAGATTGAACCCAGTACAGAGGGAGAGAGAGATATGAAAGTACAGTATGCGTACTCTTGATTTAACTGAATCCGATATAACGAACTCTCGATTTAGCGGAAGGCATTTTTTTTCATTATTTTTCGCTTGATTTAGTGAACTAGTTCGCTAAATCGAGATTAATTCCGTTAATGTGCCCACACCTACGGAGACACCTCAGACACATGATATGTACATATAATCAGTATTCATGGCTTACCTTAAACTAGGGGGTTCAGTTTTTGTTTTCAAAATTTTCTTTAATTTCCACACTTTTTCCAATTGACAGCTGCCTTCTTTTGACTTTCTTCCCCCACACCACTTCCTTTCTGAGACTTCCAAGAGACTTTTGGCATGATGTCTAAGCACAGTAGTTAGTTGACTGAGAGGTAGCAGTGAACAACACACGCGGTGGTGGCAGGACACAGACTGAGCAGATGTAAACAAACCCTGTGTGCCAAGCGGCGCATTTGGTGTGGAATTTAACGGAATCATGTTTAATTTAGAGAATTTGTTTGCTAAATCGAGCAAAAATAATGGAAATTTGATTTAGCGGAAATTTTTATTTAAAGGAAAGGGGTGGCTCGAATTAGTTCATTAAATCGAGAAAGTACTGTACCCTGTATATATATTTCTGCATTCAGATGGTGAAAAAGTAAAATAAAATTCTTTAATGGCATGACTTATGTATTTTGTAAATTAATTATTTCACACTTTTTGCAGATGCCCAAGCATGGGATGTGCGTATCGTGTACGTCTTGCTGTCACTGACTTAGAGGATGCTCTTGATGTAAAACGAAACCTGTTACTCCAGGCGGCCTCAGGGAAGATGTAGGAGAATAATGGGAATACTGTATGTCTGTCTTTATCTTGTGGGTTTTCATCCTCCAGTTGTTGTAGAATCTTTCTCTCTACTGTTGTTAGCCACATGTACAGTACTTGGTGTCAACCATCCATCTGAGGTTATTTGTAATGGAGTAATTCTTTCCATAGTACTGTACACTAATACTGAATTACATACTGCATATAAATCATCATAACACATTTATTAAATTTACTTACGAGTTATATAATTTTTTATGGAAATTAAGTACAAAATGTGTCAACTAAACAAAATTTGCTTTCTTTCTGTTTAAATTGTTTTTTAATTTCATAAAATCTTCTATTGAGATAATCAATCATCTTTCTGTTACTTGTGTTGTTTCTTTCAGACTGTAGACCATTGGTGACTTCTAGTATAATTGAGGGCCTCCGAAGCACAAGGCTGCAAGCGCCACCACGGGGGAAATTGAGTTACTGGTACCAACATATTTTCTAAGTTGAGTTGTGTCTTGTGGAGCTTGGATTTGCAGCCTTGTGTTACTCTTCACATGGTCAAAAAAGCACTGACATACATTGGTTTGTGTACCTAAAAGGACCATGTTCAACGCTCATTCATCACACAAGGCCGCAAGTCTCGCCCCACCACACCGAATCCCTTTAACTGACATAGCAGCCAATGACAGGTGTGCGTCACCCACCACACCTCCCAGCTGAACAAATGACACAGCGAGTAGACCTGCTTCGGCTAATGGGTGTGCATCTGTGGTACCTGGGCCGCGATGTATGACACTCGTACACAAAACTTTTACAACAAGTATCTTCAAAATAAAACAAACCCCACCTCAATATCTTTATTGGTTGTGGAGTAACAAACAAAAAACTTTAGGGGCTTGTTTCTCACTTTTTAAAAAATGGCGCTTGCGGCCTTGTGATTCAAAGGCCCTCAATAATCAAACAATCTTTCAGGGTTTTTTCTAGTAAAGATACAGGGTTACAAACGGGTTCTTCCTGAGGACGTTCATAAGTCGGAACACATGCTATGTGCATACCGTACTTACAGACCAATGTTTAAAATCCCACTTATATCATAGCCCAAGTCCTTATATAAATCTAAAATCAATTAATTTAAGAGCAAAGAAGAAATAGAATGACAAAATACAGTAAATGAAAGTAAAAAATAAGTCATCAGGTAAATAAAATACTGTACTGTAAATTAAAAGATTAGCCCCGTTCATACCGGCAGGCGTTTGTAAGTCCGGGACCCTCTGTACTGAACACAAATGCAAGATACTCATCATTTGTATATCTGCTGGCACCATCAGAATTTGAAGATATAAAATAACATATGTTCTATAGGACCCATAGCTACATAAGAAATAGTTGGAGGATTAAAATACCACTCATTTGTATTAGAGAATACAGTACTGTAGTTATGCTCATTGAAGCTGATGCATTTGTAAAGTGACAGATGGTACAAGGAACATGTGTTAAGCTTGCAAACACTAAGAAGAAAATCTGAAATGTTTTTGGCATGTAGTATTAGTTGGTGATAACATTTCATTTCGGAGGATATTATAAGAAATATTAATGATAATTTTTTTTAGAAAGACCAGGGTTTTAGAGCATGAAGCATCAGACTCAATAAATTACAGTAAAACTTTAGTAGATTATTATGTAACTAAATTACTCGGTATATTATTCTTGGAAGTTCATGTTTCATATTTCTTAAGTAAAATACTGTAGTTTGTACAAAACAGTGAAACAGTAAACAAAGATATGTCCAATTGGGCTATACTGTATATGTAGATTTTTTAATTTTATTTTCCTCGCATGCTTCTCTGAATATTAATTAAAACCATAGTTGCTACTGGTTTTACATCACAACAATTGTGTCTTTCATTCAATACAGTACAGCTTGATGAGAGTCAAACTCAGCGATTAAAGGCATGTTATGTCATGCAGAAGTAGTTTTCAGTGTGGTAGATGTCAGACAAGATCGATTATCTGTTTTGATGACATTCTATGATTTTATCAGTTGTTGAACATCAACTGAATGTGGTTTAGCTGCAACTACCTGTGCTAATTTCATGACTAATTCTCTGTTCTCCAACTGGTTTGAACAGTAGCTTATATTATTTCAGAAGGAGTCATTAGTGAATCAAAAGCCTCACAAGTATTTCTGTATTGTAAAGAAAATGGTATGATAAGTTCATGGCATATTTTCAAGTCACTGTCAGTTACCTCGATCCAGCTTTATCAAGAGACTCTGTTTATTGATTCTTTCAGAGTCCAAATTATACCTTTCATTCAGAAAATTCAAAAAGGATTTTATGATTTCATACAGCATGGAAGAAAAATTCAGATCACAGTAACAAGAGTATGATTTGTATGGTGTGCATTGTCCAAAGAAGGTGGCATCATTTTCAACATAGCATTTTTTTAATATACATTCCAGCCCTACAACTAGCTCTGTTATCTTCATAGAATTAAGCTGTTTCATAAGCTTCAACAGGAGTAGGAAATCAGAGACAGCTCATTGTCTTCATTTTTTTCAGATCTGACAGATTGGTTAGGTACCCTTTGGCAGCCTTGTCCACTGAGTCTGATTGGTGCTGTACAAGAGCTTTCAATGAGAACATTATTCTGCTGCGTAACTACAGTACAGTACAGTAGAACATCGATTTAAAGCAATTCAATTTAAGATTATTGATTTAAAGCGACACCCACAGTTAAGGACAATGTTTTAATTTAAAGCGAATCTTTCCTATTTTGCTCGAGTCAATCTGGCGCATCATATTTTAAAATTCGCGCCTAATGTTTCTCTGGGCACGCGACACTCTCCAAAGGGCAAAGCTGTACTGTACATGTACTCAAAATAATGTACTTAATTATTACTAAAATTTTTGTCTAGTGCAAACTATAGCATGATTATATTTAATTTAATCACTATCTTATAAGAATTCCAGCAATGTAAAGTATATTCTCCCCTGTCACTTCTGTGACATTTTATAAGCAAAATACAAAAACTCAATCTAAAGGACATAAATAAACAAATAAATACTTCACTAGACCTTCAGTCCCAACTGATAAATATGTCACTGTCACCCCCCCATCTTCCCAGCCAGGGTTGGGTGGTTATAGGCTTACAGTTTTTATCTTATATAATATCACAGACTAAAATTGGGAGAATAAAATCTACGTTGCTAGAATCCTTGCAAGACAACAAATAATTTGAATATAAACATCATATATTTTGCACAAGAGATAAAATTTTTAGCCCTTTGTAATAAAATTAATGAGAACATGTCAGTTCAGTGACATTTTATAAGAGAAAAACTTAGTCACTCTTAAGGACAGATAAATAAATAAGCACTAGACCTTGACATCAACTGTCAAACATATCACCTCACCTCACCTCCCCCCCGCCCCCCCCTTCAGCTGATTGCTAGTAAACAGACTATTTCATGTCCCATAATTTTAGCTGTGTTGATTTATGAGTGTTTGTTTTAACATAATACTACAAAAAACAATGTTTTGTTTATTCTAGGAAATGGGCTGAGGTGCATCTGGGTAGACTCTCAGTCTTTTTAGTATTTTGTTTCTCTCAGGTACCAAACTAAATTTTTCCATTGAAACAACACTTCGATTTAGTGCGAATTCGGTTTAAAGCAACCTCTCTTGTAATGTATCTCGTGTTATATCGACGTTATACTGTAATAGGAAAACTCTGTCCATCCAATTTCAAAGCACTTCACCTTCGAGCTATGACTGAATACAGCCATTTTCAGTTCTTTTGTTTGAACAGCAGATTTAAGGAAGATGGAAAGAGCACTAGCATTAGATAACTATGTTTCAACCTTTTTCACTTTTTAATACCTTACCAACCAAGTAAATTTATCCATTGTCAGCAGACATAGCCTCTCATGTCGATCAAAGTGTCCTTCCTTGGGTATGAATCTGAAAACTTTTACAAAGAATTCAAACTCTCTCAGGATGTTGAAAACGAAGTGCGTAACAGATGCATTGTATTTATACTAAAACTGTGCCGAGAACTTAAACTAATGCTTCCTGATAATTTTTCTGTGTTATCAAAGATGTCCAGGTTTTCTGTCAACAAGTGCACAAAAAGAATTAAGCCTCCAACAGACAATGAGTTCTTTGGATACAGTGCTGCCAAGATTGAAGAAATAGAAAATCAGTGTCATAACTTAACTTTTATAGAGTGGCAAAACATATCTTCTACTGTTGACTTATGGACAGAAATTAATCAGTATGGAGACTGCTGGAGACAAGCCATTCAAGGCACCTGTATCTCTGGCTATGAGAATACAGTATTATCACTTCCACACATTAATGCCGAGATCAAAAGACTTTTCAGTGAAATCAATTTAGTTAAGTCAAAGCTGAGAAATCGTCTTAATCTAAATACATTAAGTGCTGTGCTGTCCATTCGTAGTGGCCTAAAAAGACTTAAAAAAAACGGTCTTAGTTATGAAATCCCAAAGCACATCATCAAAGTAACTGGAACAGTCGAGGCTTATTCCCAGTCACAACATGAAGCTGAAGGAACAACCAGCTCGGCCCACTCGCTCTCTGAAGAGGATGACGAATTACTCTTGTAATCTCGGGTATGCAATTACGGTGATTTAGGTTTTAACGATTTTATATCATGGCTTATCCTATGTTTCTTTGAATTTAGCCTACAAGATTTAGCAAATTTTGTGCTGAAATTGTGACTTAGCACTCATTGTAGCAACTTTTGGGTTGAAGGAGTTGGCAACCGTGGGTGTAGTAATCTTGATTGCATGTTCTACTATTCTTGTGTACATGATTGTGGATAATGTTCAGGAATATAATTGTCCCAGGTTGAGTATGGAAACCATGAATTTGGCTATTACCAGTATTAGAGTTTATTATATGTTGTGAGTAAACCATTTATGTATACTCACAACTGAGGTGCTGGTATGCATTTCCTGTGATATCATGTTGCTCTAAATATTACTACAGGGCACCAATAGAAGTAGTGCATGTTATCGATGTAAGTAAACCAGCTATACTGACAGTTGAGATGTGCTGGTGTATGTTTGTTCTTCAAATAATGACATGATGCTACAAGCACTGTATTAATTGCCTTATAATAGCCTGTTGTTCTAAAAAACACCATCATTCTGTGCTTTTAGCAAGTATGCAAAGTGACCATCTTTTTTGTAAATGATATATAATAATAATAATCACCTTAACCCTTGGGCTGTGGGAGGTTACCCCAAGCTGAATAAAATCGTCTGGCAGTAGCCAGAATAAAATGACAAGTACGTGAAACACAGCGAAAGGGTTAATTGAGATGGGTTTTTAACCCTTTGGCTCATGGAGGTTACCTCAAACAATGAAATCATATGACGGTAGCCAGAATAAAATGGTAAGTGCGCAAAACATAGCGAAAGGGTTAAGGAGGTATAAGTTGATGTTGTAACAAATAATTTAAGATCGATTTTTGTTACTTATAGAATAAGACCTAGTGGTCCGTTTTTGTCTGAGTGTTACAGTGGTGACACCAGAGTGACACCCTGGGGCACTCCTTACAGTTATATGGGCCAAAGTATTATTATTGTATATGATTGGGGATAATTAGCAGAAATATAGTTATCCCATGTTGAGTAGTGAACCCATAAATATTGATAGTATCAGTAATAACGTGTTATGTGTTGTGAGTGCATCCTCCATATGTACTACCAACAGTTCTAGTGAAGGTACCATATAAAAGCATGTCATGTGGTGTGTTATTTTAAATGCACAACCAGTAATGATGTAAGAAGCAAGAGTATCTAATTGAAATTGCAGATGAGTAAAGCCAAGGAGTTGATCCTTGTAGTTGCATGTTAATGACACCTTTAACCAAATTGAATTTCATATTAACAAACCATTTTTAGAGTACAGTATGTAAGGGGTACCATTTTCCCTCAGTATCTACCTTTATTCTTATCCAATAGCTTGATAGCAGAATTACAGAACCCATGTGCCCTAACCCTCGCCATGCTTCCAAAGGTCAGAGGTTATGGAGTAACTATATGAAATGAAATAACTAGACAGAACAAATGGAAATAAGAAAAGAAAGAATATATAAGGAAAGAAAAAGAAAGAGAGAAACAAAAAACCCGGCCGCCCCCGCCCTTATATCACAACACTCCCTGGCAGATTGTTCCAAGAGTTCACAACTCTCGCTCCGAAAAAGTTAGCCCTCGCAGTTTTCTGGGCGTGCGGCTTTTTCAACCTTGAGCTGTGACCCCTTGTGGGGCAAGCGTCCGCCAGCTCCAGGTAAGGGCACTCGACTGAATAGTGCCCTTTGAGATGCTTATGCACCTCAATTGGGTGTCCCCTTGCCCATCTGTAGTATAAGCTAGGCAATTTCAGGCACTCTCATCTCTCAGTGGCGACTTAACTGAGGTGTATAAGCATCTCAAAGGGCACTACTCAGTCGAATGTCCTTGGAGCTGGCGAACGCTCGCCCCACAAGGGGTCACAGCTCAAGATTGAAGAAGCTGCAGGTCCTGAAAACTGTGAGGGCAAACTTTTTTGGAGTGAGAGTTGTGAACTCTTGGAATAATCTGCCAGAAAGTGCTGTTACGGCACCGAGTGTAAGCTCTTTCAAGACCAGACTTGACCAACACTGGAGCAGGTTCAGGTACATTCAGGGACTGGTGCATGCCCAGTACTTGCCAACAGTGCGTAACAGAGAAGTGACAGATCGCTCAAGCGGCTAGCGAGCTGATCAATGGTGAAGAGGATAAAACAACAGTGCGTAACAGGA